AATTGAAAACACACATGATCAAGGGAGGGGCAGAGAGAGAAAGAGAGAGAGAGAATTCCAAGCAGGCTCTGTGCTGTCAGTGTAGAGCAGGACGCAGGGCTTGATCCCGTAAACAGTGAGATCATAACCCGAGCCAAAACCAAGAATTGAACGCTTGACCGACTGAGCCACCTACGCGCCCCCCATAAACGAGTCAGCTTTAATGCTACACATTCAGTGTTGCTTGTGCAATAAATTGTTTTTATTTTAAAAGACCCAAATAGGAAAAAACAACATGGTCATTGCCCTCAGCATCAGAAGCTTCTATTGCTACTTTACAATCCCATCACCAGGCCAGAGCCAAAAGGACAGGGGCCCTGTTACCATATGTGTGTGGGGCACACATAGACTGCCAGCCCTTCACAGAACCGGAGGCTCTTGGGCCCTGGGGCCAAAAGGCCTGGCTTTGAAGCCGCCACTGACCTTCTGGGCAGCCTTGATATCTTTAGTTTCCTCATGTGTAAAAGTAGGGAGGCTAATAGGTCTGTCCCAGATAGTTCACTGAGGCCATTTAACCTGCCGAGACCCCGAGTCCAGAGGACTTGACACCTACCAACATGAACCACTATTTGCTTAAGCCTTTCTGCATCCAGGCTCAGCCACTTTCCAGCTGTTCTAGAAGCATAGCTCCTGGGTAACACTGATTCTCCCCTGAATCACTGGAGGCTACCTTCTGCGCCTCCGTCATCACCCGGCATCACCTGACTTTGCAAGAATGGGCTCCTGGTGTCCCAGGCATCCTTCCGTTGCAAGAGGCGGAAACCTCAAACTCCCTGCAGGCCAGAGGGGGAATTTTTCAAGATAGATTCAGGGGTATGCATCATGGACCCAAGGGGCAGGAATCATAGGCCTCTCCAGGAGCGGGATCAAGAGGATTGAGATAGTTTCTTCCTCGGTGTGTGCTTTCAGTCTGTTCACTTGGCCTGTCTGAACATGAACATGACCTCTGTGCATGCCCTCTATGTTTCTCTTTCTAGTGGCGCTGCCTCTATGTCTCTGTCCACCCATCTTTGCCTCTCTGTGCTCTCTCTTTCCTCTCTATCTCTGCCTTCACCTTCTCTTTCTCAGGGCCTGGACCAGGGCGAGATGACCCAGATGCCCAGTGCACAGCATTTAAGGAGGCAGTCTGTCATGGGTACCGGCCCTGCCCCTGCTTGAGCTCTAGAATGAGTGTCTCCTTGGGTGCATGTCCTGGGCACCTCACTGGCAGCACCCTGGCCCAGGCCCTGCTTTTCTCTCTGTCTGCCCTTCCTTCTTTTTGTCTCTCCGACTCCCCTCCGTGGCTGAGTGTTTGTTTCTCTCCTGCCGTCCCCGTCTTTGGTTTCCTCTGCTCATCTGCAGGCTTCAGCAGCCTCCTCGCAATCGCTCTGCTTCTCTGGACACATGGCTGAAGCTGCTTGCCCCTCAGTCCAGCAGTCCAAGTTCAAGTTCAGATTTCTGGGAGGTGAATATAGCGCCGCTTGGTCAGCTGTTCACACCTTCTCCAGTCAGCTGTGGCCGCGGGCTCCGGTCCCCCAGTCCACAGGCAGAGCCTTGGGAACAGCTCAACAGGAGGGCCTGCTTGGCCATGGGTCCCCTAACCTGTCCCTTCAATGTGAAGTGTGGCACAGGGGTCCCCTCACTCCTCACCCCAGAACACAGCCACCTTTGCCCAGGGCCTTCCTGGGAATTTGGAGGAAAACAGAGCCAGAGCTACGTTTGAGAAGAGGCCTCCATCTCCTGGGTCTCTAAATGTAGTGAGCGTCAGGCAGCCTCCTCCTCGAATATTCTCGTTCTTCCAGCTGCATCTGCAGAAAAAAAAAGCCATCATGCCCCATTTTGGGGTTCCGGTTTTAGATGTCTGCACTGTGTGTGGTGACAGCACTCTCTGCTGTCTCACCCCCTCATGGCCAAATGTTCAAGAGACTCGGAAACGTCAAGGAGCGGGGGCAGCAGCCTTGGCGCTGGGGTGAGAGAAGGAACTGGAGGGGGCTAGCGGTGGGTGGGCAGGGGTGTGTGCAGCGGGTCCCAGGCAGGGGACACAGAGCGTGAAGGCCTGGGCCAAGGTTAGCCTGTGGGGGTGTGAGGGCTGAGGGGGCACTGCCCAGCTCCCCTCTTCTTTCCAGCGGGACTTTGGCAGCTGGTTTCCAGATCTCCTTGGGTGGCTCTTACATGGCAGCAGGAGGATTTGGGGAAGATGCAACACAGTGTTGGTGGGGAAGGTGTGGTGATGGGGCTTGGGGGCCATTTCTTGCCTCACTGGAGATGTCAGCTGAGGTGGAACATGGTGGCAGGGAGGCCTGGGGATGGGCATGGAGGCCGCTGGCGGCTGTGGAACTTTAGGGGGCTGTTGAGGCTTCTGTGCACAGCCTGGATTGTGTCAGCGCCTGTTTGAGATTCGTGCAGACCCGCCACAGCCGTCGGGCCTGGCCCCGACCGAGACTCCGTCTTTGGTCATTGTGCTTCTAGGGAAGATGGGATCCAAGCCTCAAGCGTTGCTGGGCTCCTGCAGACAGAAGAGGCCATCCCTGGCGGCCAAGCCTCCTTATTAGCACTGGGGAAAAGCTGATGCAGAGGCAAACGTAGGCAAGCAATTGCTTTTATAATCATAGAATCCATGCCTGTGCCATCTTTCCCTGAAATCTGTTATTGCACTTATTCATTTGGCCAACCTTTGCTGAACTCCTGTTAAGTGCCAAGTACTGTCCAGGTGTTGGGGATCCTTGGGTCCCCTGTCCTCCAGCCCAGCAGGGAGCGCAGATATCTGCACGCACAGAGAGCTAGGACAGGATGTGCTAGACACCGGAAAGCAGGCTGCTCAAAGTACCTGTAGCAGCACAGGGAAAGCAGTTAATTCTTTCTGGGGAGTCAAAAGAGCCTTCCTGGAGGAGGTGACATTTGCTCTTGAAGGTTGAGTAAGAGCCTACGAAGGAGGAAAAGAAGGTTATCTCAGGAGGGCCCAGCTGGCATGGAGAAGGCGGGGCATGTGGGGAGAAGGCGATGGCTGAGGGGATTGATAAGGCCGGACAGACTGGGGGGTTGGAAAGCCCCTGATGTGGGCATTGGTCTGGCCCTGTTGAGCCTCTTTGTATATGCTGCCGGATGGGGCAGCTTTCGTTTGCCCGCGGCTTTGTGCAGGGCTGGGGTGGGGGAGCTGGGCCTGGGAGGACAGAGTGGTGTCTCCCAGGAAATGGCTGCTCTGCCACAAGCCGGGTTTGCTCCAGGCCCCGCGAGCCCGGTGGCACCCAGGTTGCACACATCACCTTGGCAGTTTGTGGTCAAACCCTCCTGGCCGAGGGGAGATTGCACTGCCGGCCACTTCCTCCAGTTCCTTCCCTTTGCCTGTCGTCACGGTTACCTTGGCCCGGGTGGGGGTGAGGTTGAGGTTGGGTGGAATCAATTCTGTCCAGGTTTCTATTTTCGCAGATGCAGGTCAGCCAGAGGCGCTGTCACTTCTGGGTCTGTTTCAAGGGAGGCCATGGGGCCGGGAGGCACTTGGGTGTGGCTGTGGAGACAAGGTGCCTCTCCAGCCAGCCTCCCAGAAGGGGTGGGGGTGGGTCAGGGAGAAGCTCCGAAGAGGTGCAGAAAGAGAAGGGGGTTGCCTTACGAGGGCCTGTGTCGATGGCCGTGGGTGCTGGTCTCCGGCCAGGCTCTCCGTCCTAAGCTCCCAGAGCATGCTGGGAGTGCACAGAGAGGGTGTTTATTTTCCTGGCCTGGAGCCCTTTAAGCTGAGACCTTGTTCCAGGCCTCAGGCTGCCAGGTTCACCCCCACTAGCTCAAGAAGTGAGAGAGTTGGCAAGGCCAGGGCAAGCCAATGACTTCTCTAGTGGCCTCTGACTCTAGGCTGTTCCCCCAGCCCAGCTGGTCCTGTGTGTCCTCCAGATTCTCCTGGTAGCTAACAGACAGCAAGAGGCACCACTTTGAAGTGACCCTGACCGGTCAGGGCTGTGTGGGCCAGTGGTCAGTCAAGAGCGGGAGGATTGAAGTGAGAGAAATCCCAGCTGGAATCCTAACTCTGCCATTTCTTAGTTGGGTGGCCTTGGGTAAATGGAACCCTTGAACTTCAGTCTCCCCACGTGTAAAATGGGACAGTAATAGTACTTTCCTTATGGGTTGTAAAGATAACGTGACTTGTGTTGAAAGCATTTAACAAATAGGCATCAGAGAGCAGCTCTTGCTGTTAGTATAACTGAAACAATAAAACCCGTAATTTTGATCGAAAGTCAGGGTTGGTGGGCAGTGAGTTTCTTCCTTCCCATTTAATGGGTCCCATTTTACGCATGGTAAAATTTCTCATGTGTCTTGGGGGAGAAGCAAGCAGACCTGGAGACTCGGGAGGCCCCTCTGCCTGTGTCCCATGCGGGGCACTTGGGGGAGCCCTGGCATCCTGGGACACAGCGGGGAATCTTGGGGGACAACATGCAGAAGCAGCAAAATGGATCAAAGCCTGGTGAGGAGACTGGGGAGACCGTTTACTAGCACCAGGAGGTAGATCGGAGCATCTGGAAGGACCAAGAGGAAGGGCGAGGGTACCTGGGGGCGAGCGTGTGGGGGTAGAATGTGAAATCTGCGTCCATGCCCAAGGTGTTTTTAAAGGAAGTGCCTAGGAACCACTGACCTGGAAAATAGTGCCCAGAAGGCTTGGGCTGGGCAAGAGAACAGGCCGTCACCACCCACTGGGTGCCACCTCTGTGTGAATAGACTTGCCAGGCTCAGAGCCTCCTGAACTCTGGCAGAACCCGGGCGGCCCTGCCCTCCTGGGCACTGACCCCTCCCAGGTTTGCCCATCTGCTCCACCAGGATCCGTGGGCTGGCTGGGAAGCGTTTCCATCCCACCAGCGGGGACGCCAGGGGGCTGGCAGACAGGGACAGCTCCGTGCCCACGGAGAAGGGGCGATTATCCATCTGCCTGTCCACGACAGGAGGGAAGCCGTACTCCAGGCCTGCCTCGATGTCTAATCCGCGGCTCTGTGCCCTCACAGCTAGATGAAGAAGAGGAGCGAAGGAAAAGGCGCCGGGAGAAGAACAAAGTGGCGGCAGCCCGATGCCGGAACAAGAAGAAGGAGCGGACGGAGTTTCTGCAGCGGGTGAGCAGGGCAGCTGGCCAGGGCGGGGCACCTGTCTCGTTCTTCAGAGCAGGCCTGTGCACGTGTGGGCCAGGAGACGTCTGTCGTCACCGAAGCCCGCGGAATCAGTGTGTGCCTGCTGCCATCTGTCCAAGCAGCCGTGACCCCCTGTTCTTGCCTGCCTTCCATCTAGTGCCCTTTCCCTGAACCAAGACAACCAAGGGCAGCCGGGAGCATGTCTTGCCCACTCAGATCCCTGAAGGCCAGAGAAGGTGGGAGGAGCCAGCTCCCCTCTACTAGTCAGGCCCTGGTGCTGATTGGCCCAGATGGGCCAGGACCATTACTCCCCACTTCGAAGGCCTGGTGGCTGCCAAAGTTGTCTCGCGTGGATGCTAACAAAGTAGGTGACAGCGCCCTGCCCTGTGTGTGAGCGGTGGACAGTCTCTTCCAGCCCTGCTTCCCATCTGGCTGGCCACAGCTCCACTGAACATGACCCCCACCCTGCTGCCTCCAGGAACCAGAGGTCAGCTCTGCATGCAAAGGCCGGCAGAGCCAGCCCCCCACCTCAGAGCACATCCCTGCCCTTTCATTTGGAAGGTGCCAAGCAGGGTGTTTGTTCTTTCTCCCCTGAGTCCTATCTCTTAGGCCTTTACTGTGTTTCAAAACTGGTAGATGGCAGTGAAGGGGCATGACCAGAAAGCTCGTCAATCCAGGCCGGAAGTCTCCAACCTCCACGGTCTGGATCACTTGTTTGTTTCTAAATAAAACAGGAACAACATATAACGATAATAATACCATGGGCCCCACCGTTGCTGCGAACATTTGTAAAGTTGGGCAGTGTGTGGAGTGCTATAAGTATATTATCTCTGTATTGGCATAATAACTGTATGAGATAGGTACCCTCATTATTTTGTTTACAGATAGGGAAACTAAGGCATGATGAGGTTAAATTACTTGCCCGGGTCCTTCAGCAACTAAGTGGTAGAGCTGAGATTCAAGCCTGAGGCTAACTTCAAAGCGTTTGTTCTTAACACTCTGCTATCCTAGCTCTAGTTCATTCATTCATTCATTCATTCACTCACTCATTCGCTGATTTGTTGACAAGCATTTTTATGCGTGTACTAAAAGCCCAGCACTTTGCTAGGTGCATTGGGGGACACACAGGAAGGAGTAGACCATGGTGTTTCCGGTGGGAGCTGGGGAGACAAGGCTCACTTGGCCTCGGTTTTCTTTGATGCTGGAGGATATATGGGTCTTTTCTCACACTTGCTACAAGCAGAGAGAAGATCTGAGGTCCCAGGTATAGACAGCGTGGGGCTGTGTGTACACCTGGGGCTCTGAGCATCTAAGGCAGGGGGATGGCCATTACAGGTGGGAGTTAGACTCCTAGAGCTGAGAGCCTCCTCGGAAGAGATGGCAGACCGACACTGGGCTGGAAGTTTTCAGGAGGTTTCTAAGACACAGGTCTCACATGCGCATTTCAGATGGATGGCGTGTCCCACACCTCATTTCCAGCCCTGAGTGTCCACCGAGCCGGGGAAGGCCCAGCAGGGAACAAACAAGACCCCTGCCTTCAAGGGCTCGGCAGCCAGTTAGCAGGCAATACATACGTCCAGTGAGCACACCCTGGTGCGGTGAACGGTGCCAAATGAATGGTGCTAGCTGCTCTTCACATTCCAGAAACACTTGCTGAGCACCAACCGTATGCAGGCCTATCACATGCCTCATTTAATCTTATAACATTTCAGTGAGATAAACATTGGCTATTCCCATTTTAGAGACTGACCTATAGCTCAGAAGAGGTCGTTATTTGCCCAAGGTCACACTGTTAACAAGTGGTAGAGCTGGGATTTATTCATTTTTCTGCCCATCTGTCCATCCATCCATCCATCCATCCGTCCGTCCGTCCATCCAATCATCCATGCATGCATCCATTCATCTATCCATCCGTCCATCCCTACATCTATCCATCCATTCAAACATCCACCCCGTAAGCATTTAGTGAGTACCCACTGCAGAGCAGGCAGTAGGACAGCAGATAGAAAATGGGGAATGGTAATGTGCACCGTGCGTTATGTTGGGCAAGCCCAGCGGGCTGTGAGAACACTCTGAGAGGCCCTCTCTTAGTCTAGCTGAGGAAAGACTGCTTATTGAGACACAGAAGAGGAGTAGGAGCTAACCAGATGAAGGACAGAGGTGGGCGGGGTTAGCAGGAACAGCACAAGCAAAGGCCAGGGGCAAGAGGTGTTTAAGGATGTGATTAAAGAATTGAAAAGAATGTCAGTGTGGCTGGCGTTTAGAGTACACGGAGGAGAATGGACAGGCAGGCAGACCCCTAGCCATGTAGCTGATCCTGTCCCCCTTTATGCCTCTGGTCTTGGCCTCTTTATCAATAGCACCTGCTTTTACTCACAAGTGTCCCCTTTAGAATGATGAATTATGTCATCATGGAGAGCTGTGGAAGGTTTCAGTTGGAGAGAGACACACCTTGGAAAGACCCCTCTGGCTGCATTGTGGGGCAAGGGCTGGGGCAGTGGGAAGACCAGTTACATGGCTGTCGTGCTGTCCCTGGTGGCCTCGGGGCCTAGGAGGGAGGTTTAGGCAGCTCTCTCTCGGCTCAAGCCGTCTCCCTCTCGGCCCATGTTCCTCTCTTCCCCTCTGGCCTTGGAAACAGAGGTTTAGGACATGGATGCAGATGGCTGTGTTGATAGCCAGTGCCCGCAGACCTGAGGGGTTCCCTTATAATAAGCTTATTTTTGAACAGGTAATATATATAAAGCTCAGAGGTACAAAAGGATATATGTGTGTGCACACACACACATATATGTAATGTACAAAGTCACCCTCCCATCCTTAATCCCTAGACACCGAGATGTACCGTGGAAGACTCTTAGAGCATCTCCAAGTTCACCTGCCTGGACCAGCCGAGTGCCTGGACCAGCCAGGGCTACCTCAGCACCTCCTCTGTCTGCAGTCAGGAGCAGTGCGCCCCCCACCCCCACCCCGCCCTGTCTGTGACGCCGGCCTCTGTACCTGCTGCACCTGACACGTTTAACGCAGGTTCATTCCCTGGGCTTTGGCAGCAGTAAGCCCATCTCACACTCCCGTGGCACTCTGCACTTTCGTGGCCATTCTCTCCTTGATGGTCACAAGATGATGGTGACTCTGGGAGGCAGCAAAGCGGCCCCCACTCCCCTGAGGAGGATTCTGAGATTCAAAGGGTTGAAAGTTTGCTCTAGGTTCCGCAGCAGTGGAGGCAGGACTAGAACCCGGGCTTCATCTGCTGCCCAGCATGCTGTTCAGGTTGCCCGGGCTCGGGGAAATCGGGAATTGGGTTCCCAGTGATGTAGCTAAAGTGGCAGAGTTAGGATTTTAGTTCAGACAGGTCTTTTGGGCTCAGAAGAGGCCATACCAGCCTTCTTCCAGTATGTACAAAAAACACTGGGAAGCGGAACTGTATTTTAAGTGCATTAGGGTAACTTTTTTAAAGATAAAATCAGAGAATCTTAATGCTTGAAGTCCTTTGGACCAATCATATTTTCTGGGAGGAGACTAGCCCATGCTAAGGGAATTGACTTGGCCAAGATTGCACAGCCAGGATAATAAAACCAGAACACTCAGCCCCTCACCCTTTATTTTTTTTTCCTGCCTTTGCTGAGAATAGTGGAAGAGACAGAATGTTCACTCACTTGCACTCAATCTATTGTGAAACAACAAGTGGTTTCATTTTCTCTAGGGCAATAAATATCTACCAGAAAGCAAAACTATAAACAAAAATGCAAGGAGAGTTATTTACTTCATAATGAACATGTGAAGATCCTAGCCCACGTTTCTCAATTAATTAGCAAAACAGATCAGGTAATTGCTGTTATAAAACCACAGACGACTTCTATAATCATGGTTAAAAAAAAGATTCTTCTCAATTCAGCTTCTACTTACACGATAAATAAACATGTAGCACCACTCAATAAAACAGAAGGAAATGAAACTAAAAAGCAGTTAGTTACCTTCTGACAGCCAGCCGGTCCGAGTTTAGGCTATTCCAGGGTATACTTTAACATTTTAATGTATTTTTTAATGTTTATTATTTTGAGAGAGAGGGTGTGAGTAGGGGAGGGGCAGAGAGAGAGAGCGGGAGAGGAAGAATCCCCAGCAGGCTTCACGCTGTCAGAGGAGAGCCCAGCGTGGGACTTGAACTCATGAACTGTGAGATCATGCCCTGAGCTAAAATCAAGAGTCAGATGTTTAACTGCCTGAGTCAGCCAGGCACCCGTCCTCTAACATTTTACAACCGACAGAATGCAGTGCCATTCCTGTGATGAATGAGTGTGAGAAGCCACACACCTACTTGGGTTTTTGTGTGATTCAGATGTTCGCACTTGAAGTTGGTTTGAGACATGCAGTCATTTCAAGGAGGTCGATCTGCTCACAGTACTGAACGCTGCACGCTGGCCGTTGCGTGATCAGTTTTAACATCCACTCACGTACGACCCAACTGCTTCCTTACCATCTCCAAACAGCAGCCCCTCCCCCGGCCCCACTCCTTGGACCCCCCACCCCCCACCCCCCGCCCCTGGCCTACAGGCAGCCTCTCTCATTGCCCAGATCCAGCCAGTCACCAGGACCTCTTCTCTGAGCCATCCTCCTCCTCTGCTCTTTCTCCTCTTTCTTCAGAGGGTCTTGCTCAAAACTTAAAGTGAAAATTCCTTAAGCCTCCCTAACCCTTCAGTTTATAAAGCGCTTTTGCCGCCTGAGTTCATTTAGTCCCCACGAGCATCATCTTTTTATATTTGAGATAGCTGAGACTCAGGGTAGTTAAGAAACTTGCTGATTCTTCTAGACCCTGAAGCTTTTCCAGATCTGGCTCTAAATCCTCCTTCCCTGCTCTCTACCCTTCCATCCTGAAGTGACCTGTGGTCACATGGAGGGCTTCATCTCCCAAACACATCTGAGGCTTATTTCCCATGTGCGTGTCCTTGTTCACTCAGGGCTCCCTTCCTGAGTCCTGCCTCCCTACGCCACCTGACCTGCTCAGGCCACCCAGAGTCGACCCACGGTTTTAAACCCATGGCCAGACCCCGTGTTTAGTCCTCTTGGAAGGTCTTCCAGCCCCTGCACTGCTGATGGGCACGTCGTAAGCTCCCCGCTGCCCTATGGATCCTTCTTCTCCATACAGGGGAAGCTGTACAGGGGGGCCCACGGGCCTCCGGATCCCCCCAGATGTTCACTGTACACGCACGTCCTCAGCAGGTCTGATGGGTGGATTGAACAGAGACTCCTAGAGGCACAGGCTCGGGATTCGAACTTGGAGCTAAAACCTTGGCTCGGAGGGACCAGACGGTCAGAGGCTTTGTGAGAAGTCCCCAGGGTCACAAGCTCCTCAGACCCAGTGAAGCAGCTAAGATTAGCACCTCACTGCCTCAGACTGACGGGTCACGGACTCGTGGTTTTGCAGGGGTCTCTCCCCTGGCCCTCAGAGATAACTCATCCTGGAATTCTGAGAACAGGAGACAGGCCCAGCCTCCCCATCGTGCTTCACCAAAAACCACCATCGCTGGTTTTTAATGTTTTTCCCCTGAACATTTTTCCCCCTTTTGTGAGGCCGTTCTTCAGTGTCTGGTCATGAAGACTGCACATCTCAGCAGTTCTGAGCTCCCCTGGCGCTCACGCGGTTACCTTGGCGACGAGACCAAGCGACACTGTGGACATTCTGTCTAGATAGTTCTTGTTGTGGGGCCGCCCTGGGCATTGCAGGGCGTTTAGGAGCATCGCTAGCCTCTACCCACCAGACACTGCAGGGTCCACCCCCCTCAGTTGGGACAACCGAAAATGACTCCGGACTTTGTCAAATGCCTCCTGGCAGGCAAAATCACTCCCAGTTGAGAACCACTGGTCTGAAACCTTGCGGGCCTCTGAGTAAATCCCAACTCTCAAACTGGCTGTAAGTTCTCAGACACAGTCCAGTGAAAGCCATTGAGCTTTCCTGGCTTACTGCTTTGACCCCCGAGCCCGGGATTGGTATGCTCACCGCCTGTGCATCCACACCCAGAACATGCAAACTCCCCCAAGAGCGAATCGCCAGCATTCGTACCTTCTTTTCCCCGGAGCCTCTCTGACGGGGCTGGAAGTTCATTGGGAATCTCACTTGAGGTCTATTTGAAACTTTATTTTGGATCCAGAAGGGTATTGATCATCTCCCAGTGGGCAAAGTTTCTAGCTAACAGGGGATAAAGAAAAGGCTGTTTAAATGATCATGGACTGGGGCGCCTGGGTGGCTCAGTCGGTTAATCATCTGACTTCAGCTCAGGTCATGATCTCACCATTTGTGGGTTTAAGCCCTGAGTCAGGCTCTGTACTGACAGCTCGGACCCTGGAGCCTGCTTTGGATTCTGTGTCTCCCTTTCTCTCTCTGTCTCTCTCCTGCTCATGCTGTCTCTCTCTCTGTGTCTCAAAAATCAATAAACGTTAAAAAAAAAAAACTTAAAAAGAATGATTATGGACTCATAGGAAGCGCACGTTTTGGGAGGAATGATGTGAGCACACTGGGTTTAGTGAGCCCACGGGTCAGAATATCCCCGATGTACATTTACACATGACATGTCAAAGCACTTGGCCACTGCACTGCCAACTGTGGGCCCCTCCCACTCCCTGTGGACCATGCACGTACCTGCTCCAGGTCCATTGGGCTTCTATTCTTGTCCCATCCTTTGTTTCTGGGGCAAGGTCTGGGAGGCAGGAGAGTGTGGCATATTTGAACAACTACAGGGATGTCACTGTGGCTGGAGTGGATTGAGGGAGGGGAGAGAGGTGGGACATGGCCCAGGCTGGGCCCCAGGGTATAACCTGCGTCCATCCCACTTTGACACAGGCCAGTGTCACAGGTGTGACGGCCACTGCTGCAGAAAGTCAGGGACCCCAGGGGCTCTGTGCTTCCTCCAGTGGGAGCCTGGCAGGTGGAAAATAGGCTAATGCTAGCTGGGGGTGTCTCGTACCTCCCCAGATGCAGAGGCGGTCCCCAGTGAGAGTTTACAGCCCCATCTCTGTTTTTGCGCCCAGGAATCTGAGCGACTGGAGCTCATGAATGCGGAGCTGAAGACCCAGATTGAGGAGCTGAAGCAAGAGCGACAGCAGCTCATTCTGATGCTGAACCGGCATCGCCCCACCTGCATCGTCCGGACGGACAGCGTCAAGACCCCGGAATCGGAAGGCAACCCGCTGTTGGAGCAGCTGGAGAAGAAGTGACCATGGGCTGGGAGAAGGAAGAGGAGGAGGAGGAGGAGGAGGAGGAGGATTTGGGAAGAGGGGGGAGGACGAGGGGTCCCAGAGGGCCCTTCCTTGCTGCACGACAAACTTTACAATGAGGCTCAGCACAGCCAGTGCTGGCCGGGCTTTTTTGTGAAACTCCAATCAGCCGCACAAGGGGAAGAAGGGGCTGACGAAACCTAGAAGGACCAAGCGCTGAGACCAAAGTAGACCCTCGGGTGGGGCTGTCCTGCCTGGGGCCCGGCTTGAAGGAGGCAGGACAGAGGCCCCCGGCTGGAGGGACGCCCAACCGAATGGCCTGTCCACCAGGGCACCCACCGAGGGACCTCGGAGCAGCCAGGAAAAGCCATGAGTTGCAAACCAAGTGCAGCTGGGGATGGAACTGAGCGGAACTACGGCCTGCCTGTCCCCAGCCCTGTCCACCGCCCCTGATGCGGGGCCCAGCCATACCGCCCACCTGGGTCCAGCGCGCCCCGCCCGGGAGCGGCAGCCGGGGCGCACCCTCGCCGGCCCCGCTGGAGTCTGCTGTGGGCACGAGGCGCGGGCGCCCTTCCAAAGCACATACTCACCGAATGTTTACAGACTGGCTGTCCAGGCAGGGCTTTTCAACTGCACATGTTTTTTATACTTTCTTTTTTTTTTTTTTTTAATATTTTTTACAAAAAAAAAAGATTTTATACAAGCAATATATATATGGATTTCTATAATCACTCGATGTGATGTAGTATAAATATGCTATGGTTTGTTTGTTACGAACAGTATCCAGCAGTTATGGCCGTCGTGTGTAACTCCTAAGTACTGTAGTAGTCTGTGGGTGGCGGGGTGGCAGGGGCGGGCATGGGGCGCGTTTCCATCCTGGTAAACCCTTCCCTTCATAGTACTCAGTCCTGTATCGCTCAGTAAACGTTACTCTTACTTACTCAGCTGCCTCTTGTGGTGAATGGGGTACGTGGCACGCTCGGGGGGCCTCCCAGTGTGCGGCATCAGATGTTTGGAGCATCTGCTGTGGGCCCTTGGCTTTCATGACAGCCCTCCCAGGTAAGTGTTCATATGCCCATTTTACAGATGAGGAAGTCCAGGCTTGGAGAAGTTAAATCTGAGTACTTCCTTTGTTCACTCACTTGCTCCACAAGCGTACTGAGCGCCTGTCTCTCAGGCACTGAGTAGTCACCAGGCATAAAACAAACCCACGTACGCCCTGTGCACGTGGAGCTAACGGTCCCGTGTAAACCCTGTGCTCGCTGCATACTCTGGCTCAGTTCAGCTCCACAACGGCCTTGCCAGGGAGCAGCCATTGTGTTCAAGTCACAGATGAGGCGTGGGGAGATTAAACTGGCAGCCGCCATTTGTTGGCCTACTATGTGACAAGCACGTATAGTTTCATTTACTCTTGACAGTGTGCAGTAGGCATTGTTACCCCCATTTTGCAAACGACTTAACTGAGGTTCAGAGAGGGTAAGTGGCTTGTCTCAGATTACCCAGCTAGGGAGACACAGAGCTGGTGTGTTTCAGCTTGGCCTCCAAAAGCCATGGCCCTCCACCGGTCGCCAGCTGGCTGCGTGATTATTGATTATCGCTGTGGTGGAATGTCTCATCTGATTAGAAGAGGGAATCTGTGGGGCCTTGGTGACATTTAGTTCTAGAGGGGTCTGGCTAGAGTTCCAGGCTGTGTTGTGATCCTGGAGTGAACCAGTGATCTGGACAGATGTGTGCCTGACCCAGCAGAGAGGGTGTGGATAACTCATCTTGCCCTCAGTTGCACAGCTGAGAACTGAACCCATGTGGCAGGAATGGCTCCGTGTGATCCACAGTAACTGCCATTTATGTGGCACACAGCATATCCCAGGTCCTTTGGTGCACGTTGTCTCACTTGATATTACAGCTCTGTGAGGTGTGGGGGAGCGGGGAGGGACAGGCGTTCTTAGGTCCACTGAGGAGCTGTGTGAGCCAAGGCTTCTCAAGATTCAAGTTCACCTAGCAAAACAGAGGCATAGCTAGGAACCGAACGCTGCTCTTCTGCCTTCTGATTGTGTGGTCTCTGTCCCAACACTGGGGCTAACTCACTAGTTGTCAATGATGAGACTTCATGTTAAGGACAGCAGTGACCTTGGGTTGCTTCCCAAATCATGGATGAGGACTTCTGGAACGGACAGAAATGAGAGCAGGTCATTGACACACCTTTGGCCCCTTATCTACTCATCTCAGTGCCCTCCACCCGACAAGCTTGGCGTGGGCCCCCTGAGCCCTGCCTTGGAAGCAAGGATAGTCTGTCCCCAGCCAGCAGGGGCAGCACATGGGCCATAATCCTTTGATATTTTTCAAGCCACGGGAAAACAGAGATGTGGACTTATAAGGGCCCCTCGAGTGACCCGGTAGCCATTCCTTCAGGACAACCACATGCCACTGGCTATGGTGCCTTTGGTCCTGTGCTTGGGTGCCACAAGCCTGTACTTCCAGGAGAGAGTCCTCCTTAGCCTCTGCGGATGGGCTGTTCTCCCAGAAGCAGTGACTTGTGCTGTGCTGAGCCTGCCCTTGAGGTTTCTTCTTCAGGACCATTGCTATCTCCTATGGGTAGCAAGAGGTAACAATCACAGTCTTCCTCCTGAGAGCTGATGCTTGCATGTTTTCTTTGCATGGCACTTAGATGTGTGGCCCGGCCAGTCCATATGACCTTGCCAAGAGGTAGGTGTCATTATCCTTGTGTTACAGACAAGAAAACTGAGGCACCAAGAAGATGTAACTTGCCCAAGGCCACAGTCCAGTAGGGTATCAGGGCCAAGAAGTTCTTGCAGTCTGACTCCAGGCTGCTGGGCCTCCTCTTGAGGGGAAATGCCCCCTGTTTGTGGTGTGACCTCAGGCCCCAGAGTTTGTGCAGGGGCTGGAAGAGACGGCACACGATGAGTATTCCTAACCCTCAGACACCCATCTCCAAGCTTATGTACAGAAGACATACTTCAAAGGCAAAAATCGGTTTAAGACTCAATCTACTGACTAGCCATGGGCCTCACTTTCTTATCTGTCAAGTGGGAACAGTAATAACCCAAGTTTTCTTTATAGAGTTGTCATCAGGGATCAGATGAGGAATGCATGCAAAAGTGTTTTATGAAATGTAAAACTCCATAAAATGGTAATTATCTTGTTCTCTGTTAGCATGGGGGGTAGTTGTTGATAGTTACCACGTAGTGCAGATTATTTAAAATTCTTTATTCTCTAGAGGTGGTTGCAGAGTTTGTGTTCTGGCCACGTATTCAGTTCCCATGGTGATGCGTGCTGGGATCTGAGATTCCTAGGTTCGGTAGGCTCCTGCATGGCCATAGTCACCTGTGTTGTGTTGAGCTCATTATCCCCTTCCTGCCAGGTGGTCACAAATAAGACCTGTGCCACCTCTGCCCCAGGGCTTCCAAGAGCATCAGCTGTGCAACTTAGAAGAAGAACAGGACCCATTTGCAATCAGATGGGCAGAAACCAGTACGTGTTGGGCAGGATACGAATTAAAGGGACTTGCATTTGCCACTCATGGGAAATCGGTGTGACTCCTGTGTAAAGCAATTTGGCAATTACTGGTGATTCTAAAGCTAGACACGTGCTTGGACCCAGCAATTTCCCTCCTAAGCATATACCTTGGAGGGGCTCTAGGACAGGGGCCCAAGGAAATGGACAAGAAGGTTCACTGACTCTGTTGGTAATAAAGAGAAACTGGAAACAACCTAAGTACTTATGACCAGAAGAACAGATAAACAAACATGTATGTTTATGAAGTCAAATATTATTCAGCAGTTTAAAAGAATGAACTGGGTTTATGGGTATTGCTGTGGATAAATCATGAACTCGGTGTTGAGCTGGAGGAGAGGAGGGCAAGTTGCAGAAGCATGTGTACAGTGTACCATTTATATAATCTTTCGGAACATGTGAACTGATATTTTAGTGTTCCGGGTATGCACAGAGCCGGATAATAGAGGGATGAAAGCATGCACAGGACTGCTATCAAAATCGAATATTAAAGTCAGTAATAGGTGATGCTCTTGGGGGGAATAGGGGGTTGAGGACAGCATCTGCAAGGCTAAGAAGGACGTTGGGTTTCAACTGTATGTATAACATTTCATTTCCTTTTAAAAATCCGAATGCGATGTAGAAGAATGATGTTGCCATTTACCAGAGGTGGGTGATATTCTTCACACTCTTCTGTATGATTGGTATATTTCATAATAAAAAAGAACAAGCCACAGCACAAATAAGTTTTCTTTTTTCCTTCTTTCCTTAGCAAACTCAAAATAAGAACAAAAGTAAGTAAGAATAAGTAAGAACAAAATCTGAAATTGCAATGGAGTTACAGCCTGTGCTCTTTGAATTGGTGCAGATTTAAATAAATGCCTCGAGGGGCGCCTGGGTGGCTTAGTCGGTTAAGCGTCCGACTTTCGCTTAGGTCATGATCTCGCGGTTCGTGGGTTCGAGCCCCGCGTCGGGCTCTGTGCTGACTGCCAGCTCAGAGCCTGGAGCCTGTTTCAGTCTGTGACTCCCTCTCTCTCTGACCCTCCCCTGCTCACGCTGTCTCTCTCTCTCTCTCTCCTAGAAATAAATAAAAACCTTAAAAAAAAAAATTAAAAAAAAAAATAAATGCCTCAAGGGAGGAAAGGAGACCACTCAAAGGGTGTGATTTGTTTAGCTGGCCCTCGTACTCCACAGGCCCAAGCCCTGGGGTGAGGGTGCTTAAGGGTGAGGGCACCTTGGGAAATGCTGATCCCCTCTTTTCAGTGGGTCCTGGTCCCTGCTCTCCAAAAAATGAGTAATTACAGGCATTTTCAAGGTTAATTTGGATGCCATGTTTTCTCCTTAAATGCTGACTTTACAACCCAACCCCTATGTAAAATGCAATCCACTGCACCTTTAAGTTATGGCTAGAAGCAAAACTAAGGGGGAACATTTTAAAGGCACTAATGCAATTTTCACAGGCATAGTCATTTTCTGTTGTTACCCTAACAAATTACCACAGTTTAGTGGTTTAAAGCAACACAAATTTTGATAACTTGAAGTCCTGGAGGTCAGACGTCCGAAACGGGTCTCACTGGGTTGGACAGAGGTGTCAGCAGGCTCTGGTAGGGGAAAATCTGTTTTCTAGCCCTTTCTAAGTTATGAAAGCTGCCCACATTCACTGGTTCACAGCCCCTGCCATCTTTCAGGCCAGCAATGGCTGGTTGGGTCTTTCTCACATCATATCACTCTGACACCAACTCTTCTGTCTTCTCCCTCTCATTTTTTAAGGACTCTTGTGATTATATTGGGCCCACCTGGATAAAAAGGATAATCTTATTTTAAGGTCAGCTGATTAGCAACTTTAGTTCCATATGCAATCTTAAGTCCCCGTTGCCATGTAACATAATATATTCACAGGTTGCCTCTTTGGTGGCCATTACTCCGCCTACTTCAATTGGAATTTAAGAGCTGGAGGTTCTCACTGCTCTCTTCGCTCCCTGGCAAGTTAGGCTGTTTTCCATGTAAGCGCTGGAAGGATAGAGTCTCTGCATGGGACATTCTCAGTGACCAGCACTGTGCTCGGCACAGAGCAGATGGTCAACACACACAACACACAAACACCACACACACACACACACAAAGTCACACATACACTCACAGAGATGTGATACAACATAGACACAAACACAGCTATACACACAATACA